TTATTTTTGGTTCATTCATAATTTATTATTATTTTGAGTCATTATTGTTTTTTTTATTTTCTTTACTTTTTATTTTTTAGAAGTATCATTGTTGTTTTTTCTTTAGTTTTTATTTTTATTTTACTTTTTATAAGTTTACTTTTGATTTGATTTTTTCTCTCAGTTTTTATTTTTTATTTTTCGTTCATTCTTAATATAGGTTTCAATGTTTTTTGGTTTTCGGTTAGACTTGATTTTGAATTGAATTTGTTGTTGAAATTTTTTTTATATGTTTTTATTTTTGATTCATTCTTAATATATTATTTTGAGTCGGGTTTCAATAGGAATTTAAAATTTTACATAATGATAACTAATTTTTTTTATTTATTTTTTTAAGCATTTCCTTACAAAAACTAAATATGAGATATCAAATTTTCAAATCAAATAAATTGGTAGATTCTTTCCCTTTTTTGAATATCTATTTTCATATTTCCAAAGGTCAAGGTCATGTTAAAAATATATTAATTAATGGATATAAAAAGAGTTTTTAAAAGAGTTTCAATAAAACTCTAACACAAATTACCTATTTATCTATTTATTATGAGTTTTTTAATAAAAGAAATATAATTATACAAGAATTACTAAATATAAAAATATTTATTAATTGATATAAAAAATAATATAATTTCTCTAATACTCTACCACAAATTACCTTTTATTATGAGTTTTTTAGTAAAAGGAAATCTAATTAGACTAGGATATATTTAAAGAAATAAAATAATTTGTATAAAACTCTACCACAAATTACCTATTTTATTTTCAATAAAAATCTATCACATTATACAGTAATATATTTAAAGAGTTTCTATAAAACTCTGACACAAATTATCTTTTTATTATGAGTTTTTTAATGCAAGAAAATCTAATTAGACAAAAATTATTAAAATAAAAAAATATTTATTAATTTATATAAAAAGAGATTTTAAAAGAGTTCCTATAAAACTTTAACACAATTTACCTATTTATGAATTTCTTATGATTTTTTTAATAAAAGAAAGACTAAGTAGACAAGAATTATTAATATAAAAAATATTTATTAATTGATATAAAAAGTAAAATAATTTTTCTAAAACTCTAACAAAAATTATATTTTATTATGAGTTTTTTAGTAAAAGGAAATCTAATTAAAGTAGAATTATTAATATAAAAAAATATACATTAATTGTTATAAAAAGAGTTTTTAAAAGAGTTTCCATAAAACTCTACAACATTTTACCTATTTATCTATTTATTATAATTTTTTTTTTAATAAAAGGAAATTCAATTAGACAAGAATATATTTAAAGAAAATAAAATAATTTCTATAAAACTCTCCGACATTATTTATTTATCATGAGTTTTTTAAAAGAGTTTCTATAAAACTATAACACAAATTACCTATTTATCCATTTATTATGAATTTTTTAATAAAAGAAAATCTAATTAGACAAGAATAATTAATATAACAAATATTCATCAATTGATACAAATTACCTTTTATTATGTTTTTTTTAATAAAAGAAAACATAATTAGACAAGGATATATTTAAAGAAAATAGAATAATTTCTATAAAAAACTCAACCACAAATTACCTATTTTAATTTCAATAAAACTCTATCACATTAGATAATGATATTAAAAGAGTTTCAATAAAACTCTAACATAAATTACCTATTTATTTTGAGTTTTTTAATGAAACAAAATTTAATAAGACGAGAATTATTAATACAAAAAATATTTATTAATTGATAAAAAATAAAATATTTTTTCTTGAACTTTATCACATATAACTTATTTATTATGAATATGTTTAAAGAAAATTAAATAATTTTATAAAACTCTACCACAAATTATCTATTTTTAAAAAAAAAAAACTTTATGACGTATAATATGTATTTATCTATTTATTATGAGTTTTTTAATAAGAGAAAATCTAATTAGAGAAATATATATTTAAGGAAAATAAAATAACTTTTTAAAAGAATTTCTATAAAACTCTAACACAAATTATCTATTTATTATAAGGTTTTTTAAAAAAGAAAATATAATTAGACAATAGTAATTTATATAAAAAATATTCATTTATTGATATAAAAATAAAATAATTTCTCTAAAACTATATCACAATTTAACTTTTACTTAGAGTTTTTTATTAGAAGAAAATCTAATTAGAAAAGGATATATTTAAAATAAAAAAAAAATAATTTCTATAAAACTCTACCACAAATTACTTATTTTATTTTCAATAAAACTCTATCACATTAGACAATGATATATTTAAAGAGTTTCAATAAAACTCTAACATAAATTACCTATTTATCTATTTATTATGAGTTTTTTAATGAAAGGAAATTTAATTACACGAGAATTATTAATTTTAAAAAATATTTATTAATTGATATAAAAAGAGATTTTTAAAAAGTTTCTATAAAACTCTAGCACAAATTATCTATTTATCAATTTATGATGAGTTTTTTAATAATAGAAAATCTAATTAGAGTAGAATTATTAATATAAAAAATATTTATTAATTGATATAAAAAATAAAAGAATTTTTCTAAAACTTTATCACATATAACTTATTTATTATGAATATATTTAAATAAAAATAAAATAATTTCTATAAAATTCTACCACAAATTATCTATTTTATTTTCTTTAAAAACTTTATCACATATAATCTATATTTATCTATTTATTATGAGTTTTTTAATAAAAAAAAATCTAATTGGAGAAGGATATATTTAAAGAAAATAAAATAATTTTTTTAAAAAAATTCTATAAAACTGTAACACAAATTACCTATTTATCTATTTATTATGATCTTTTTAATAAAAAAAATCTAATTAGACAATAATTATTTATATAAAAATTATTTATTTATTGATATAAAAAATAAAATAATTTCTCTAAAACTCTAACACAAATTAACTTTTATTATGATTTTTTTAATAATAAAAAAATCTAATTAGACAAGGATATATTTAAAGAAAGTAAAATAATTTCTATAAAATTCTAACACAAATTACCTATTTTATTTTCCATAAAACTCTATCAGAGTTTCTTTAAAACTCTAACACAAATTACCTATTTATCTATTTATTATGAGTTTTTTAAGGGAAAAAAATCTAATTTGGAAAAGAATTATTAATATAAAAAATATATTTATTAATTGATATAAATATAGTTGTTAAAAGAGTTTCTATAAAACTCTAACACAAATTATCTATGTATCTATTTATTATGAGTTTTTAATAAATTGAAATATAATTAGACAAGAATTATTAATATAAAAAAATACTCAATAAAACTCTACCACAAATTAGCAATTTTTTTTCTTTTAGTATCTCATTATTTATTTAATATAATAATGTTTATTAATTGAAATAAAATGAATTAAAATAAAAGAGTTTTTATAAATAAAATGAAGTAAAATAAAAGAGTTTCAAATCATTATTAAAAACAACTAAAAAAATAGGTCATTATTTAATAAAATAATTTACCAAACAATAACGTGCGATTTCCTAGTACATATAAATCAGTATAGGTAGATATATATAGAGATTAATGTTTTCGGAATGAGGTAAATTAATAAATTACATTTAGAAAAACATAAATAGTTTATAAGGGAAGGAGAAAATTTCAAAGGGTATTTTTACACATTTTTAAAAAATATATACATCTTACATATATATATATATATATATATATATATATATATATATATAAAGTAAGGGAAGGAGAAAATTCAAGGGACACGTGCCCTGGTCCTATACTAGCTCCGTTCCTGCCGGGAGTTGCTATGAGTATCAGTTGTTTGATTGAGGTGAGTTTTGATGAAAGGGGGGTCGGAGATCAAGGTAAAACCAAGGCATGATGGCTTCTTCTTCGCATGAGTGAGTAGTCATGATTTGTATTCTCTTCCCTGGTTTGGCATGGGCTAGCCTCTTTCTTGATCTATTATTAAAATCTGGTAACTGACTTTGTTGGTTTTTGCTCTGATACCACTTTCTAATTTTGTTCTAAAACCACTTTGTTGGAAATAGTGGGCTATACAAACAAATACAACTCTATATAATTTGAAAGAGAAATGGAGGAAGAAATATATTATTTCACTTATTCCCAACTTTTTCTTATTCTAAAATGACTAAAGTACATGATTATATAGGCCTCACATATGTATGTGTAACCATTACATTTAAATGCCCAATTACACTCATTATTCCCACTAACATGATATTTAGTAGGTATAACTCTTACTAACATAACCATTTAGTCTTAACTTTCATGACTCTTGATTTTACATAACCTTCACCATCACACTAACTTTCATATACTAATTCTCATTAAGATAATTTACTATCCATTAATATGCTAAATGCTCACTTACATTATGTACACAAATACTTGAAATGACTAATTAAATACTAAAATCAAGTTTATTTTTCAACACCCCCCTTTAAACTTGATTTTGTAACTTGAAAATAAACTTCTTATTAATCTTGAGGGCTTGATCAAAAGTTTAATGGCTGATCTTCATTTCCACATCCTTCAATAGCTTCAATCTTCTTGACCATTTCCATTGATGTGTAGGGCTTGTCAAACTTCTTCAAGTGTTTGAATAATGTCCTCTTATGATCAACCTTTATCTTTTTTCACATGGGTGCACCATCCGTTTTCACTCTTCTTGAATTCTTGAAACTTCTTGAACTTCTTATGTGCTTCTTCTTTGGAATCCAAAAATAACTCCATATTCACCCAGCCTATGTCAATTACAAAATTCTCCAAACCATTTTGTAAAAAATAATTCGAAAAATTCTTCTCGCCTTTAGCTTCAATGTCATAATTAATTGGAACAATTTTCTTCAAAGAAATTCATCATTCTCCACAAAATAAACATTATTTGATGAATATAAAGAAATAATAATTTCATCAAATAAGTCAAATATAACTTCTTTCAAGGTGAAATTTGTAACCATACCTGAAATTGTTAACTCACCAATTTTATCAACTTTTGCCTCTTCTTTAGCACTTTTTTCTTCTTTAACTTTTCTTTTCACTTCAATCTCCTCCACTTTTTCAATCTTTTCTTCAATACCTTTCTTTATCTCTTCCTTATTCACCATTTCACTTTAGCTTTCAACTTTTGAATCTTCAATTTCTTCAACTTCATTTATGTTGTACGCCACTTCATTCTCCACAAATGTGTCCTCTAAACTTTCATAATCATCATTTGTAAACTCATCATCTTCAAAACATTGTAACCAATATTCCATGGGTAGTGATTCACCTCTATAATTGAAAATGATGGTCTCGAGCATCATCTAAATACAATTTGGAATTTTGGACTCTCCAAAATACTCCCAAATTTCTTGATGTATTGCCTTTTGCAACACTACAAATGCCTTCTTTTCTTTCTTTTCATGAAGCTTGTTGGACATGCCTTCTTTGGCTCTTCTCCAACAACATCCCACAAATCACATGCTTTGAGGTATGAAGTCATGATGATTTTTGATAAGTGCTTAAATGTTGCACATTTTAGCACCTAAGCTAGGGTATTTCAGTCTTTGCATCTATCTTAATTTCATGTTTTAGTCCTAATTTATGTTTATATGTATTTCAGGGTAATAAAGTTAAAATGAGCTAATTTTGGTTCACTAAAGCCTTTTTGGAGTCAAGCAAAGATATTCAGAAAAAGCTCAGAAAATGGCAAAAAGGAGGTTGCAGCCCATTGCTCGTATAGTGTGTTTATTCTTCAAAAGCGGTCAATTCAGGCCTTTGATGATGTTCCCAAAGATGAAGAAGCAAACCAATGAGCTCGGGGCCAAAATGGAGCTAAATAGGGCTTAAAGGAAATTTCCAACTCTAGGGGATCAATCCCCCAGGACTTGGCAACATTACAGATTTTTTTTTTTTTTTTTTTGGGCTTATTTTGTGAACTATTGGGCTTTAATAGAGTTGTTACTTAAGGCCCAGTGAGCCATTAGATTAGGGTTGGTATTTATTTTATTTAGGTGAATACTATTATAATTATTAAGTTTTATTATTTTCTGACGGTGATATTACGTTCTCTCTGGGGAAAAAGGAAAAGCTAGGATTTGAAGAACTTTTTACAGAGGCTTTGTCTACAATTGAAGGAAGAAGAAGAAGGAGCCAAAAGATGGAGATGGAGCTTGTTGACACCATAATCATCTTCTCCATGAGCTAGTTCTTCACTTAGGGCTTGGATGAGCCCTAAGTTCATGTAACCTAAACCTTTGTTTTTCTTTTCTTGGGGAATTATTAACTTGTAATTAAATATTTGGCCTTGTGATTTATTTATATATACATGCTTGATTTGACAAATTAGGGCTTGTATTGATTAATTCTTCCATTGAAATCTCCAAGTTGATTGTTTGTCTATATATGATTAATTAGGGATTTTATTCTTCATTAGATGATTGAAAATTAATTCTTCCATTGATTCTATATGAAAATTGCATGTCTATGTGTGATTGATTTAGAATTATACTCTACACTAGATACTTCTTTTAGTTGTGTTTAGTGATGGCCATAGCATGAGACTTAGTTGATACAATTGTCAATTAATTTGATGGAGAAAGGCTTAATCTTGATGGGTTGTTCTACAAATTAGCTTATTGTCATTAGGTAATTGTAGTAAAGTAGGCAATTTGTGCTTGATTATGTTAATCCATACTTCTAATTACAATTAGTATTATCCTCTTGATTGATGTGTGCTCTTATCGGATACATTTGTGACTGTGTATGGTAGGTTATGATGTAGTCTTGAATGGGTTCTACACTTTAGTTTAATTGTCATTAGGTAGACAATTCAGTCTTGATGTTGATAATCTATGTTTACAATTGTGATTTGTGATGATAATGTGACCACATCTATAATTACACTAATGAATTCCCCATTAATTGAAAGTATATGGTTAATTGCATGGGCTTAGTGGTGAATCCTAACCCTAAGACTCTCTTCATATCTCTTTAATTCTTAATTTAATTTAATTTAATTTACTTGCATTGTCATTTCTATTTCCATGCTTTTAATTTAACTCTAGTTTAATCATTTCACCAAAAATCTCTCTCTCTCTCTCTCTTGTGCAATCTCATTAGCACTAAAATCAAGTTTAATCCCAACACGTGTTCAATCTCTTGGGTTCGATCCCTTCTCGCTTCATACTACATAGTATAAGTGTCTAGCGGTTTATAAATTATAAAATATGATACCCACTTGACATTAATTCTAAACCTAAAGTGTTGTGCATTATTTTGTGCATACACTCGGGTCGCATCATAATTTTGGCGTCGTTGCCGGGGACTGACGGTTTAGTTGGAATTGAATTTGGCATTAGGGCTAATTTGATTGTTTTCTTTAAATTACTATTTTCTTATAAATCCTTCTTGTTCAATTAGGTAGTTGAAAAGAAGAGGAGCAAGCATTGGATCTTGGCACCATTGTGACGTTGTTGTTACGGACTTTCGTGAGCTTCCTTGAATGTCTTTTACTATAATTGTTCAATTCTCTACATACTTGCGAGATAGCCCTTGTAGAGGCTATCACATTTTTTTTAAAATTCTTGTCCAAGCATAAGCCCAAAAGGAGGCTATTACTTTCTTGATAGAAAGCATCGGCCCATGTGGAGGCAATTTAATTTTGTGTATTGATATAACATGGAAGTATGGGAACATCGTATGTAGAGGTGGTGAATTATTGTTTATTGTTGTTGTGGTTTGTTATTTCTAGGAGAATTCTTCCCATTCTTGATTATCCCACACTTATTGGAAAACCAATTCTAAGATCTAGGGCATATGGATAATCTAGGTGAGTATCACCCTCTTAATGGACATTCACCTCAAGGTGTGCATCCACCCTTGAGAATTCCCCATCCTAATGTGTTTCCACAACCCAATCAAATGCAAAAATCTCCAATAATACAAATCCATCCTCAAGATCATGTAGTGTATCCCCCAAATCCTCAATTATCTCTTCGGGATGACTACACTCCAAATGAATACAATGCATCAACATGCATCCAGTTACCAAACTTGCAGGCACAACAATATGAAATCAAGCCCGCAACCATCCAAATGTGCCCCCTTTTCTATGGGTTGAGCAATGAAGAACCACATAAACATGTGGATGAGTTTCTGGAAGTTTGTTCAACCGTGAAAATCACGGACCTTCCGGAAGAAGTCTTAAAAATGAAACTTTTCCCTTTCACTCTTTGGGAAAAGGCTAAATATTGGTTTAACAACTTGAGGGCAAATTCAATCACATCTTGGGCTCAACTACAATATGAATTCCTAAAAAAATTTTACCCTACAAGTAGAACCGACGTTATGAGAGCTTCTATCTGTGAATTCTCCCAAAGAAAGGGAGAACCTTTGCATAAAGCGTGGGAGCATTTGAACAATTTGTTACAGAAGTGTCCACATCACGACATTCCTAAATGACAATTAGTTCGCTACTTCTATGAAAGCTTATCCGATACCCAAAAAGGTATGGTTGATGCTTCATGTGGAGGAGCCTATTTGGACAAAAATGAAGACGATGTGTGGTATCTTTTTTATCGCATGAGCGAAAATTCAATGCATCGTTCTTCATTGTCCCGATTTGGCCAAAATTTGAATGAAGGAGGGAAGAAAACCTCCAGTCTTTCTCAAGTGGAGAGTTCCATGGAAATTGCCGTCGAAGTAAAAAATCTTACTTAAAGGTTTGATAAATTTCTTTCGAGCCAAAACCCGGTAATTCAATCATCCAACTCTTTCCATTTTCAAAGTGTGATGTGCATGACTTGCTCTAGTTATACTTACAATACTTTCAATTGCCCTCTTGGACAAGTTTTTCTGAGTAAGTATCAAGAACAAGTCAATGCTGTTTTCATTCATCCGGGAAATAATCCAAATTCTAACTCTTACAATTCTGGATGGAGTGATCCTAACTTTTCTTGGAGAAATCAAGGACGAGGTATCATTCCTTCTCTTCTTCAAAATTCCCAAGAAAAGTATGTGCCTCCCCACCTCCGAAATGCAAAGTCTCAAGCATACCATTCTCCATCTTAACCTCTTCCAAATGTGAATCAATTCTCCAATTCTCATTCTTCAAATCATCAATATTTTTCTCATCCACCTTAAGAGCCTCCTAGAAATCCCACTTTTGAGGATAAGGTTTTAGAAGCTTTGGGTGATCTTCGAAAGGAAAATCAAGTGTTTCATTCGCATTCTCAATCAATTGCAAAACTTGAAGCCCAAATAGGGCAAATGGCGCAATCAATGAAAGGGAAAGGACTTATTCAATCCAAGCTTAACCAAAAGGCATACTCCATTTCCACCTTGAGGAGTGGGAGAAAAATTGATAATAAAGTTGAGAGACCTAGTGAAGTTAGTGTTCCAGTGCAACCAAGTGTTAGCCCATTTACCATTCCCAATTCCATTCCAACTTCACTAGGGACAAATGGTTACATTAATGAGTAAATTCCATCACCATCATCTTCCTCCCATGTAGAGAAGTCTTATGAACCAAAAGCTCCATTTCCTCAAGCTTTAAACTCCACTCCATTTTCGAGGCAAGAAGGAAAAATCCATAACATGATGGAAGTTTTTAAACAAGTTAAAATCAACCTTCCTCTTCTTGATGCTATTCAACAAATTCCACTATATGCCAAGTTCTTGAAGGACTTGTGTACTCAAAAGAGGAAGAACAAAGGACCAAGCCCAAAGAAAGTGCTTTTCACAGAGCAAGTGAGCTCTATCATTAAGTTTAACACCCCACCTAAGTTCAAAAACCCCCGGCGCACCAACCATCTCTTGTACCATAGGGAACCATGAGGTCAAAAGGGCTCTTCTTGACTTAGGGGCTAGTGTTAATGTTATTCCTTACTCCGTGTATCTTCAATTAGGTTTGGGAAACCTTAAGCCAACTTTGGTAGTTATTCAACTCGCCGATAGGTTTACAAAACAACCAAGGGGAATTGTTGAGGACATCCTAATCAAAGTTGACAAATTCTATTTCCCGATTGATTTTGTTGTGCTTGACACTGAGCATGTTCCTAATCCTACCACTTACATTCCCATCATCTTAGGAAGACCATTCCTTGCCACCGCTAATGCAATAATT